AATACATTTTGCAACTAATGGTGTTGTCCATCAGCATGTCCATGTTTGGAACAAAGAATTCATCTTTTAGGCATGCCTTGTTAAGATCACGAAAGTCAACACAACACCTGATCTGCCCATTTTTCTTTCAAATTGTTACAATATTAGCTAACTAAGTGGGCTTCTTGGTCAACTTAATGAATTCTGCAGCTAAGAGTTTCTCGACTTCTTCCTTAATTTTAAAAGCAACTTTTGGATGGAAGGCATGATTTGGCTGCACAACTAGCTTTACTTTGGGATCAACATTTAGAGAGTGCTCTACCAAGACTAGATCAAGCCTGGCATCTCATCATAATTCCAAGCGAAGACATCTTTGTATTCTTGAAGCAAGTTGATCATCTTGGCCCTTTCGTCAATAGAGAGAGTGGTACTGAATGTACATGTCTAGGGTTCACGAGATCGTCCCCAACAACTTCAAGAGATTCTAGAGAAGTAAGCGTGGGTTGAGCTTCATGAAGAGTTGGTAGATTGTCTAGCGAAGTTAGATAATCAACTTTGCAAGAAGGCTCTAGATGCTCAACAAGTATTTTATTTCCAGTTTCAAGAGCAAGACATTCTATTTCATTGGGAAGAGCTTGTTCATCAATCAAAATGTTCTTCTTTGAATCAGTGAATAGGCGATCAAGAGACATGGCTAAACTACTAGCAATGGGGCCATCTTGTGCATGGTTGAGAAGCCTTATAAACCTTTATAAAGTATATTTGATCCTCCTATCATGAAGAACAATTCGAGTGCATTTTGGGCACGCTTGGATGGCTTTTGCTGCCGCCTTCTTATGCCTTTTATGCTCAAGGACACTTCACAGATCGATATTAGGATTATCTTTGATGTCATTCCATGTTGGCAAAGTAATGTCAACTAGGATAAATACTATCACTTCACCAGTGAGAGCAAACTCAACATAAAAAGTAGCTTTAGTGAAATGAGTCTCAGTTTGATCAAATGGCAATGGATTGGCAGGGATGCAGAAGACCTTTCCATTTAGATGACTTTTGACACATTGATGGTAAGTAGAAGGAATAATTTTAAGTCGATGCAACCATGGATGTCCTAGCAATATATGATAAGAAACTTTTGCATCAATAATGTAAAATGTCTTTAGAGATTGGATTGGACCAACCTTTGTTTCAAGCTGAATGTACCCAAGGGCATGCTCATTGCTATTGCCAAAACCAACTATGCTGAGTGGGGACTTGACAATCCTTCACTGGGGAATCCCTACAACGATGATAATGCTTAGTGGTATCAAGTTAAGAGAAGATCCAGTGTCAATAAGTGCACGTCAGACACCAAAAAAGTTGATCTGAATAAATAAGTAGAGAGGCTTTCTATGGTTAGGATATATTGCCTCCATATCTTCGTCAGTGAATGTAATGGCATTGGAAGATTTAAGGTAAGCACGATTGGCATGCACCTCAGTGTTGAGACACTCTCCTTTGGTCTCATTGGAGATGGAAAGGATGACTTCTGTGGCTCTTCGTCGTGCTTCAATAGTGAGACTGAGATGATCAAACAACGATTTGAACTTCAAAGTTCGCTAAAGCACACAAACAGAAATAAAGAAATAATAAAGGAATGAGATTTCCTTATGTATGTGTAGCGATATAGCCATGTACTGTAGCATTAAATATGGCTAGGCCTAGCCATGTATTACTACATTAGATATTGCTGGGCCTTTTGGTAAATGCACATTGAAGGCATTAATGGGCACTTAGATCAAGGTGGGTCTTAATGACATAGAAACTGAGTCCAAGTTTGACCTTTTACAAAAACATGCATCAACATTAGCCCCCCAAGCAAGGAGAGTTATGACAACATGTCTTCACGCTTGTCGTTGATGTACATGAATGTGCCCATACTTTGGTAAATAATGGATGAGTTTGATGTCATCCATCAATATCTCTATCATGTAACAAGTTGAAAAAATGTGGCCATGTTTTGCTAGACTTGGAAGATTGACTTTGCCAGAGAACAAGCCCATCCTCATGTTGTATGATTGATGATGATAATAATAGTAAAAGTGATTGTTGTAAAGCTCTCTCTTAACAGCTTGGTTGAGCTTGTAAAGAATTTTCCTCCATTAAGGAAAGAAAGCGTTGAGCATTTTTCACAGCCATGTTGTAGATAATTGCATGTCTAGCTTGGTTGAGTTAAAGCTAAGGTAGGTATCACTGGTAGAGAGATGAATGAGCTCCTCAGTAAGACAAAAAATAGCTTATTGTTTGCTCACTTTATGTTTTCCTGGCTGGAAAATACTGATTGTTGTGCATGAGCTTAGTTATAAAAATTTTAATGAAAATGAGTTGATGAGAAGTTTGACACATAGGAATACTTGTCAACCTAGTTTTGGAGAGGATAGCATTCTGGTGAAAATTAAGTATGTAGTTGAAGTTGCAATGTTGGGGATGAACATTCATCAACTTCACTGGAAAGTAATGCTAACAATATAATCTTCCAACCATGTGAATTTTTCTGAATCTCCCATGTACATGCTCATCAAGCAAGTACTTACAATTCTTTATCTTATTTAGTGACTTGACATTAAAAAGTTGTTTGGCAAAGATAAATGACATAAACGGTGATGGAGACATAGCAATAAGCTGCAAGCTGTTAAATTTGTAGCAGACTACTTTATCTAAGTGAAATATGATGACGTGAAGTAGAGTAATAACCCTCTATCCGAGGAATGCAAGAACTAGTAATGATGGATATCTTGTTTAAGAGATAGAGTAATGCAGAGATAAAGGCTTTCCGTAGCTTTGGTATAACCATAGGTCAGGACCAACTAGCTTCGTTGATCCTTCCTTTTGCCAAAAATGATAAAATGATGATCAAGATGAAATGAGCGTACATATGTTCACATACTCATAGGACCCAAAATGTTGAAGAAGACTTTTTATCCAAAATAGAGTATTCCAACAAAGATGGATCTTCTGTCCAAGATAGAGTATTCTAGTAAAGATGGACCTTCTGTCCAAGTGATGTAGTAATTAAGTCAGAGTGGATGAAATCTATCCATGTGAGCCATCTAGGCCTTGATAATATTTTTTCTCCATGATAGATTGTTGAAGATGTATTAATATGCAATTATGTGTTCATAATCGTTGGCCATGTTGAATATCACTGGGCTAGCCAAGAGCTTCGCTAACCTCCCTCATGCATCAAATGAGAATATGTAAGTATATATTGTTGTTCCTCTTTGTTCATTTGTCATGGGACACACTTGTATAATATTGCTATGTATGTCTAGCATTGCGTCAAAATAAAGAATGTATAACATAGATGTGTGCTGTAGTACTGTTTTATTGAGCCAAGCTTCATTAGTCGACGATAGTTGCCCACATATAAAAATATAGAAGAATGTAGAAATATGTTGTAGATCAGGTTTTTAGTAACCGGTAATTTTATCCCTTTGTATGAAAACATAATTATGTGCATGATTATTAGCCATGTTGTCTAAGTATTGTAGAATCAGCCATGAATAGCTTCCCCATAGTTAGAAGGGCAACAGTGACTAGCTTTGCCTATGGTTGGAGCATGAACTAGGTGGAATTGAAAGAACAGTCCCACTAACCCAGCTAGTAATGAAGGGGATAAATCTCATCAAGCTAGATTCCACCATAGCGATGAATATGTGATAAAGATAGGTGAGTTGTCTCCATGGAAAAGGGATGTCAACAACATCCATGGCCTTCGATACAACAAGGTGTGATACCATTGACAAACATTGGCCTTTTTGCTATACCCGCACTATCAAAAGGTGGTCCTAGTTGTTGTTGCCCACTGGGTACCGCACCACCATGTATGGATGACTACTAAGGGATTATCGGCCGCAACTTGATGGATTTTTATTACTAGAAAGTAGCCATCCCAACCAATCATAGGGTTGCAACTATTACTAGCCTCACGCTAACTATACTAAGTTGTGCTGACTCTTTGTCCATTTTCGAGAGAAAATGAAATAAAATATATGGAGATTTGACCCTTTGTTTGTTTTTGGAAGCTGGTGTAACGAAGATATGTAGAAATGTATAACCTTTCATCTATTGCTAGAGGCTAAATGAGATAACAAATCTTGCCCTTTGTCCATCACTAGGACATGTGTAGATGTAATAGAATCAGCCCATTGTCCATTGATGGGAACTAGTGATAAAGATATGTAAAGATAAGTGTTTAGCCCATTGTCTATTGTTGGGAACTTTGTTGATGTGATAAAATCAGCTTGTTGTCCTTTGATGCTAGTCAAGTATTTACAACAAGATAAGCTCTTTATCCATTGTTGGGAGTCAGTTGTAGCAGTAGATATAGCTGTAGAGATCATGACCATAAAAAATGTCCAACCATGTCATTGAGATAAATGTAGCCAAGTTTGGCTATGCAAAAGAAAATGCTGCTGAAGTGGAACGTGTCTGTGTCATTCCCTATGAAGTGGGTAAATGTTGCTTCTGGTAATGTATAAGAGAATAATATTGAGTACCGCTTTTAGTGATGCTGACTCTATTGTGGTTATTAGTAAAAAATATAATATAGCATATTTTATGTAAAGACAAGTCATGTGAATCCTCTGGTTGAAACAGATGTGTCATAAGTAATTCAACATGGCTACAATAAAATTTTAGCCATGAAATTTGATGTTGTTGATGAAGCTTCAATAGAGGTAAATTCAAACACAGCTAGAATAAGACTCTAGCCAAGAGATTTGATGTTGTTGATAAAGCTCTAACAAAGATAAAATCAAGCATGGCTAAAGCAAAACTTCAACCAAGGAATCTAATGTCATCAATGATGATGCTTCAACATAGCTAGAATCAAGGATGGCTAGAATAAGAGTCTAGCCAAGGAATATGATATTGTTGATAATGATGCTTCGATATGGATAAGATCAAGCATGGCTACAGCAAGACTTCAACTAAGAAATCTAATATAGTTGATAATAGTGTTTTGAGAACCAGACTGGATCGGTCGGTCTGATTGGTTCAACCACCACCCGTGTGCTGAAATGGGCTGGGTGGATACCCCGGCCCGTTTTGATGGTCCAACCATCCAAACCTGGTAAACTCATGTGACCTGTCCCGCTCACCAAACCCGGTCAACTTGCCAAGTGAATCTCACGTTGCAACTTTCCCTTTTTTTTTTTTTTTTCCACTATTGAGGTTTCATATTCTCAGCTCAACTCTCAAATCTTTACCACTTTTCCACGGCAAAACAAAATCCATCCTCCAGTCTTCATCATCCTTTGATTCTCCTTCTCCATTCTCTAGTCTAGTTGCCATCATTTTTTCAGTGAAGAAGAAACCACAAGGCAGCAAATCACGTAGCAAATCAACATTCATCGTGTCTCCAAATCGAGCAGTAGATCGGCATCCAGTAGGCAACAGCAGATTGTTTCTGGAAAAGAAAGCCTTCCTCCTCCACGGTGCCTTCATTCACCAGCCTTCAGCTGCTGACCTTCATTGTCGATCCGAGGCGTTTGTTGCTGCAAATACTCTTTTCCTTCCTCGGTTCCTCCTTAACAATTAATCATGCCTCCATTTCTTCTTTCTGCTGATAAGCTCGCTAGTTTTCAATTTCTCAGCATTTTGTTGCAGAATTTTAAGAAATCCTCAACTTATCTAGTTGGGCAGTGCTCTTGCAATCTCTTTTTCCATTGAAATCGAAATCGATTTTTTTTTCTTTTTTAACATATTTAGGATGGTTGATTAATTGATTCAGTGAAAGTGTGAAACAATGTATTCTACATGTTATAATTATGAGATGAAAATTTTTTTAGTTGATTTACTTTGCTTGAATGTGTCATATTTCTCTATTTAGCATTGAGCCATTGACCAATGTTGTAATTTTTTTTTTTTTCAGAATTTATAGTGTACACGTAAGGATTGGTTGAGAATTGAGATATCCATAGATTTTAAAGGGTTTGTTTTACTATTTAATTGATGCTATTGGTGCAGTCAGATTCATAACATTGTGTATTTTTATCAAGTTGTGTCATTGATCAAAATCATCAAAATTGAAAATATTTTGTAAATTTTGAATATATGAATTCTGTTATTTGTTGTAGAATTGCAAAAGTGTCATCCTTTTGACAAAATTCAACTGTTGCATCTTCCCAATCTTTAAGAGCTAAAAGAGATGCAGCATGAGAGCATTGTGTTGAAGTTATAGAAGGCACAAAAAAATCAATTAAATATTTGCACTGCCAAAAGATATTTAAAGGAGGAGGCATTAATAGAATAAAACAACACCTTGTTGGAAAGGGAGGAGATGTCAAAAAGTGTGATAAGATGCCATTTGATGTTCGTTATCGGATGCAACAGAGTTTGAAGGAAATTGAAGAAAGTAGGAAGTAGGCAAAAAATATATGGGAAGATAATCCATTTGGACATTTTAATGGAGATGCACTGGACTTGCAAGAGATTCCAAATCCCTCTTCAGCTCCACAAGCTCAAGTTAAAGGGAAGGGTTTAGAAATTTCAACAAATAGGGATAGAAAAAGGAAGGCAAGTGGGAAACAAAGTTATTTTGCCCTAACAACTACTGCTAGAGCTCAGCCATCATTTAGAAGTGCCTTGACAGGTAAAGATGTTGTCCATAATGCTAATTTGGTGATTGCTAGGTTCTTTTTTGATAGTTGTCTACCCATAAATGCTATCAACTCCCTTGACTTTCAACCTATGCTCAATGCTATTGCTGCAATTGGTCCTGGTTATAAGGCACCAAGTTATCATGTCATGAGAAGCAATTTATTGCATGATTTAAAACAAGAGGTCCAATTGTTAGTTAATTCTTATAGGAATATTTGGGTAGAAACTGGTTATATTATTATGGGTGATGGTTGGAAAGATAAGAGAAATAGGCAATTAATTAATTTTCTTATCTATTGTCCTAAAGGAATTACTTTTGTGAAATCTGTTGATGCCTGTGATGTTGTTAAAGATGCTTCCATGCTTTGCAATTTGTTTAGAGAATGGGTTGAGTTTGTGGGTTTTAATAATGTGGTGCACTTAGTGACTGAAAATGTAGTTCATTATAAAAAAGCTAGGAGATTGTTAAATGTCATTTATCCTACAATCTTTTGGTCTCCTTGTGCTGCACATTGTTTGAACTTGATTTTAAGTGATATTGGGAAGTTGGAGGTTATTAGCAATCTTGCAAGTCATGCATCTTTGGTATCTAAATTTATATACAATCATCCTTTCTTGTTGGCTTGGCTATGAAAAAGGGAAGGATGGATGGAAATTATACGTCTAGGGCCAACACATTTTGCAACAACATTCATTGCATTGAAAAGCATTCATGAGCATAAGCATGATTCACAAGCATTAGTGACTAGTCTAGAATTTAAAGAGTCTAGATACTTCAAAGATCATAAGGTAAATGATGTTGTGGCTGTTGTTCTAGATAAAAAATTTTGGAATAACTGTGAGCTTGTTGTGAAAATTGTGGGGCCACTTATTCGCTTGTTTAGAATTGTGGATAGTGATGAAAGGCCTTCATTGGGATATGTTTATGATGGCATGTATAGAGCTAGAAAGGCTATCAAGACTATATTGATGAATAAGAAGTCTTTGTATAAGCCTTACACAAAAATTATCAAGGAAAGGTGGGATAGGCAACTTTGTCAAAATCTTCATGTTGTTGCCTATTACTTGAATATTGCTTTTTTTATGATAAAGAGAATTTTTAAACCAAAAAGGAAGTCATGAAAGGTTTTATGGATGTTGTAGATGTAAAAGTGCCATCTCGGAGGTGTAAAATTTTGAATTAGTGTGAGTTATATGACAAAAACATGGAAAGCTTTGGCCATGGAAGTGCTCTTGAATCCTCAAAAACAATGAAACCTGGTAAGATTTCAATTTTTTATGTTTTTTTTTTTAAGATTACAACACTTTTATTTAATTCTTCATGATATTTAACTTTTTAACACTTGTACATGTTTCTTCTTTTTGTCTTCTCCATAGATGAGTGGTTGAAATATTTTGGATATAGTGCTCCAAATCTTAAAAATTAGCAATACAACTCTTGAGTCAAACATCGTCTTCTTTGGGGTGTGAAAGAAATTGGAGTGTACTTGAAAGAATATACACCAAAAAGAGGAATAGATTGGAGCACCAAAGGTTGAATGATCTTGTCTATGTGCATTATAATTTGCGCTTAAAGTATAGGTACTTTATCTAATCTATATAATAATAGTACCATATTAAAAAGTTTCATTCCTTATTATTTTATATTTTTGTTATGGTAATTTTATTTTTATGTTGAATAATAGGAATGATAACAAAAGGAAGACTTGCTTTGATCCTATTGATTATGAAAGAATAGACAATGTTAAGGAATGGGTCATGGAAGAAGATGATTCTCCAATTCTTGATTATGATGAATTGGAAAATATGATTTATAATAATAAAACAATGCCAATATGTCATACAACTAAAAAAGAAGGTTAGTGAATAATCAAAGCTTCTCTTTATAGTGTTTTTATTTTAAATTTATTATGTTATTTTGTCACTCTATGAATTATCTTGTTGATTATGTGAGTTAGCTTTAAATTATGATTTATTTTGTTGATTTTTATTTATTATACGTTTTTGCTTTTCAACTTTTAAGGTGGCACACATAATATTGAAGAAGAAGTGCAAGGTGGTTGTTGGGGTGTGTTGGTGATGTAGGTTGATGGGTCAACAGTAGTGATGATGTAGAGGTTGACTAGGATGCCACCCGCGAATGATGAAGAAGGTCCTTTTAGCAACACCCGTTTTACATGTAAAAGGCTACGTGCGATGGGCCATCTCGTTTTGCCCAACAATGTTGGTCAGCAACAAATTCTTCAACAAAGTTTGAACGTGCAAGTTTTCAGCCAAGCCAAGAGGGAGAGCTGGCAGCAACGATTAAGTTCCAAGATGTCCAGCGATGTTGGTCAATAGCAAATTCTTCAATGAAGTTTGAAGGTGCAAGTTTCTCCAATGAAGACCGAGAGTAAAGTTTCCCTAACGAAGTTCGAAAATAAAGCTTCTTCAACGAAGTTCAGAAATAGTGCTTATCTAGCAAAGTTTGGAAATAGAGCTTCTCTAGTGAAGTTCAAGAATAGAGTGTCCCCAACCAAGCCAAAAAGAGTGGTTGATGACAGCGCTCCCAAGATAAGATAACGAGAGTGATTACACAGCTACCAAAAATAACGAAAAATGAAATGTACATTGATGTAGAAGCAGCAAGGATAGAAAATATATAAGGGTTAAAAATTAGAACTTGAGAAGCACATTTTTACATAGTATATTGTAGCACCATAGCAAAAACAACGAATGTGCCCTCTATTATCCTTAACAAATACTCCTACTCTATAATGAGCAACCTTCACGTTGTAGATAAAAAGCACAATGGTCTCTTTCAAGCTTTATCAAGACAAAAGGAATAAACTTGAAAGCAGTGATGGGAGAAGGAAGGATGACCATGGTGGGGGCTTGTGAATGGACGGCTTGATCCTGTTTTTAATGCTAACTCTTCTGCTTGATCCTTTAATGTTCAAGAAGATAACCCAAAAATTGAAGTTGCTGCATGCTATCTCCCAACTATGATGTTCTGTCTCCCAGCCATGATATTTTGCAAGTCTGGAAAATATTCTACAATGTTGGAAATGTAGAAAATATGAAGAAAATGATGATTCTTGAGTGATTTTAGTGTGTAGAGTGAATGGGTGAGGATGAAGAATCTTTTTAGAGGAAAAATGGATGTTTGATACGTGAGAAGGAAGCTGAAGTTGTGAAAAATCTGGTTTGTTTTGCTGAAAAATGAAGGAAAAATAATATATATGTGCAGTTGCATTTTTGTAATTTTTGGGTTGATGGATTAGAGGTGCACAATGGCCTAATGGATAGATTTGGGTGCGCTATCAAGCTTTGAGTGGCTTTGGGCATTGTTGACAACTTTTTGGCAGTGATATTATGAATTACCTAGCGGTTCTAGCTAAGCTTCGTTAGTTCCAATGAAGCATTGCTAATCTGTTGAACACTGCCCATTTTTTGTAACTCTCTAGCCATACGAAATACCATTTGGGGGGGGGTATTTGAGTGCAGTTGACAAAATTAGATTTGGCCAAGATTTTGGCAGATTCCCAAAGGTTGCTCAGAATTTTGGAAGATTCACCAAGGTCTACCCAACACCATGGAACATGTGCAGCCACCTTTTGCATTGAATATAGCTACAAGTTGTTGATGGTGACCAAGATAGGATCTTTGGTTGGTTTTGAACAGGATTTTAAGCTTCTAGTTAGCATCAAATGGTACTTTTTGGGGATCAAGTTTGCCTCCATGCCTTCGCCACCCAGCCCTCTTTGGCGAAGTCAAGCAACATCACCAACGCCAAGCTTCGCCAGCACGAATACCTTGTTTCGCCAGACAAGCAATGTTCACCCGCCCATGCCTATAAAGCCACTACTCCTATAGTTTATCCCAAATATCCCCTTGAGCTTAGATTCATGGGTTTATTGATGACCTGCATAAAGGAATAGTGATAAGTTGATGAAAATGATTAAATTTGACAAATAAGGAAATAATAAAGAAAAGAGACTTCCTTATGTATTTCTGGCGATGCAGCCATATAGCATTAGATACCATTGGGCCT